CTAAATTTTTGGATCCATGATTTGCAATCCCCTGGATGTGTTGAAATTGTAAATGGACATTTTGATCCTTTTAAACATTTGCAGTCTCAGTTTTAGGTAGAGGAGCAACTTCTGCCATTTCCTGTGCTGTTGCTTATGTTGAAAAAGCTATTGGTGCTGCTTATTTCAGGTCCATAACTGTTAGAAATAAGACACTCCCCCTACACATGCATCTTTCAAGCTGCAAGACAAAGATAGGCAATGGTATGGCTGCTTGTCCACCTATCAATGGCAACATTTATGACTCTTCCCTCTGCTTATCTGGGAGCATGCGGTGCATGCCTTGCTTTGATTATTAGTGAAGTTATTCTGAATACAAAGCATGACAGTAGCAGTTTGTTTAGGAGGGAATAACACAGCTCAGTGTGCTGTAACACCCTGTGGAAGTCAGTATCCTTTATAACTGTGTATAGGTGAATATCAAGGCCAATCCTCACTTCGATTTCACAGGTAGTACAATGTGGTTGGTTGTCTGCATCTCAATATGCAGTTAGTAGCAGCACTGTGTTTTGGAATACATGTAATAACTTAGGAAATAGATCAGAACAGCAACTATGTAAGTAATAATAAGAATGAGTAATGACTAAACATGCCTTATGGTGAGTAAAGGATCATTTTTTTTGTCAAATTAGTCTCCTATCCTGACAATCAGTTCCTTTTAAACTGTTACACAAATGATGCAGACTATGAAGGTGCAGTAAATGTACAGTCACCATAGCCCTTAACATGCTGTTGTTGTTACACTTTGGAATTTAACCAGAATGACTACCTTGTCTTCTGATACTTCATAGACTGTGCATTGTTGTTCTTCATCTCTTTTCAAAACATCCAGTAATTAGTATAATGATACTGGTACTGATGATGATCCTGATCTTTTCAAGAAACAGAGAATAAGATTTTATGTGGCTATTAATACTGTGTTACACCACAACAGTAGGCAGTGCATGTTTTTTCCCCTCTGGATTTTGCAATCAGTGCAAATGACACAATCATCATAATCTTCCTATAAAGGGCCCTAAAGGTCAGATGCTGAACATGTCCTTTGAGACCAGTTCACTGTTTCCAGGATAATACTTTGAAGTCATGTTCTTGTTTATGAACAGACAAACAGCACTAAACAGAAGCAGTATTGCCAAGAGAGAGGGCAAATGGGAGAAAACCCCCCTCAAAATGGTAAACATCTATTCCACCTGGGAAAGTGCATAATACTGCATCAATCCCTGAAGATGTGCCTGAAGTAGACCCAGGAAGCCTAGCTGTGAGAGGGAGGAGACTGTAGTTTAGCTGAACAACATATTGGTTAGGGAACTTGCCTATGGTATGGGAGATGCAGGCTCTATGTCTCTAGGTTAACCTTAAAAAGTTTAAACCCGTATCTCATACTTCCTAGACAAGTGCCTTTAAACGCAAGACCATTGGCTGGGCAGGGCCAACAGCAACCTCCATCTGTTCTTTTGAAGTTGGCCTGCTGGGCAGCCAACCAGTGAAAATATGTAGGGCTGGAAGAACAAGCTAGAGAGAGGGGAATTAATCTGAAAGGCTGAATTCCCTGGGTTCTGACTTCTGTTCCCATGTTTGTATTTTGTAATTTCTAGTTATTGGATAACATGGATAGGCAGTAGTTGGAGGAGGAACCCAAATCTAAGCTCTGCCTTAAGTCCCTGCATGGGGGTATGACTGTTTTAAAGTTGAAAAGAATGTATTTGTGCTGGGAAAATGGAGCCACGAAGTATAGTGTTGGGGATCCTTGTTGGGTTTGCCAGTCACAGGTAGGGACCAATTTCAATCACAGCTTTATGATTTTTGCAGAAACCACATAATATGGTGGTTTCTGTAGTCACCGTGGAAAACAGCATTTCCTGCAATTTTACAGAATTGCCCTCCCTGCAGGAAAGCTTACCAGAATACAAAGAAAATGCACCAATCTCTGCAGCCATAGCACACATGGCTTGAGAGAGAGCTGCTGAGAGGCTGAGATAGTGACATAGACTCAGGGAAGCTGCTAGCCAGGAAAGCAAAAGAGTTTTGGCAACATCGTTTAAGAAGCCATATGCAAAGCTGTAGTCTGATGATGAGTGATTGGCCTCTTGGCCAATCAGGGGCGAGTAATGGGACTGCTGGGGCCCCTCAGCCAATCGGTGGCAAGGAGAGGGTTCTGCAAAAATATCACAAAATCAGCTTTACACATCATAAGTGGGCTATGAAAATCCCTTTGTCTTGCTGCAATTTAAGTAGGTCCCTAGTAATAGGAATCAGAAGATGAGTTACTTAAATCGTCTTGAAGGGAAGCCAAAGATTATGCTTTGAGGGTTGACTTTGCCCATAAATAAGAGTGTGCACATGTATCTGAAATCTATTTTAGTGTCCTCTGCTTTGGGATGAAGTTTTGGGGGTTTTTTGCATTACTTCTCTAAGAGATTACACCTCAATTTCTTATTCATAGACAGTGAAGAGCAATATAGTAGTAAATAGAAATTGGAAAGGAAAGGATAGAAAAAGCTTGAGATAAATACTGAATTTTTAAAACAAATCCAATGTGAAAAACAAAATAATAAATATTATTTTGATATTGTATTACCTGTTTCTAGTGTTGATATGAATCCTTTGTCACTTAGGATACATTCTTCCATTTAATAACTGTTACAGTTTGCCTGCTATCTATTTATCCAAATATTTAAATACCAATTTTCCAGTTGCTTTAGCAAAGTCTATAGAATCTATTTTTGTTCTCATTGTATTCAGGCAAACATCCTTTCATTTTTCTTGTCACTTAATATCTATATTTATCAATTGTGTTCCTTAATGTTATGCTTTCTGCTGCAAAAGTATTTTTCATAGTCTCCTGAAATCATAGAATTAGAAATAGAATCCTCCTACACATCACAGTCTGGCTTTTATGTTTAGATGCTGTAAGTCTCTAAATGGCACAGACACAGAGGTCTATCTTTCAAATCAGGTTCTCCTAAATATAATAATTATTTATACAGTTGGCTGCTTTTAATCTACATTTTATTATTCAGGTAATCAGTTTTAATTTCCCATTTCACTTTGTTTGATACCTTTAGCTGTATACTATAGACATTTGCATGTTTTTTCTTCCCCTTCTTAGCTATTTACTTTATTGCCTCATGATTAGATTATTTGTATTTCTCTCATCTAGGTGGTCAGTTTTGATAACTTCTGCACATATCTAGATATTGTTCAAGCATCTGCTCCTCCCATCGGTGCCTCATTCTGAGTTTTAAATTACTAACCTTTAAGTAGCCGTTTGTCATTTCTGTTCTCAGTATGTAGCACGTCTATTCTTAAATTATTATTGTTTGAGCATCTATCCCCAGGGCTCTCACCAGGATT